TTCTTCTTTAAAACAAAGAGCTAAGTTATTCTACATTCAGCCATATTTCATGCAAGCAAAATTGAGGGTATAACCACCCTGCTAAAACAGCTTCTTGCTCCAATAAACCAAGTGAACGCATCCTCACTTCACTTTCATCCCAAGCATGCCAGAGATGCTGCATGTGCTTTGTGATCAGAACAAAATACTGAATGGAACATTTTTGTTGTGCCTCAGTAAACAAATGTAAACCAGTTGTCCATAATGGGGCTGTTAGGCATCAAGTTTTAACTTAAACTGCTTAGCTGGGCCTCAATTTCTTTATCCTTACAATACAGGTAATAATAGTACTTACTATAGGGTTGCTATGAAGATTAAATAACATAATATATACAAAAACACTTAAAGAGGGCCTAACAACACACTCCTTAGAAGCAGGCAGGATCTCAATTTAAAAGGACATTCCCTTGGGCTGGAAAACTCTTGCCACTCATGGTTATGGGTAAGAAGAACCTCTCCTTTAAGTCAAGAGAGAAGTCACCACATGGCACTCCATCTGACGAAGCGCTGGCACATCTGACACCCATGAGCACGTTAAGTGGAGTCTGATGAGCTGCTCTTGCAGAGCCAGGGACGCTTCAGCTGTAAGAACCCTTCCAGTTCTCTAGTTTTCTCCAGTGGGGACCCACTGGGGTCGCTGCTGGCTCACTGGCCAGCCCCAGATCTACGAAGGAGAGCGAAGTCTGCATTCTGCTGCCAAAGTCACATGCATGCATTCTTTGGAAGCCACAGCAGCTCCTGAGCAGAGGCTCAGGGCTCTTTTGGACTTCACCCAGGGGCAGATACATATCTCACATGAGTTCCTCAGTGTCTCATTCCTATGGTGTGATCTGTGGGCCCTCTCCTTCCTCCCCCTGGCCTGGCCAGAAGACCCATCCTCCACCCAGTGTGAAGAGCTTGAAGCTCTTGTGGTCCATTTGGACCAGAACAGGCTTCAGTGGGAAAGCTGAGCCCTTCCCAGGAGGGGAAGCCCAGAATCCTTTCCTTTCCCACAAAATGTTGGTGTTGGAGAGAGTCTTCCTGGACAGGAAAGACAAAAGGTTGCAGTTAAGTCTGGGGTACTTTTAAGTGTCCAATCGATGTTAACGGGAGTTGCTTTCAGCTGCCAAGAGAGATGAATCCTGGGGGAGTGGCCAGGAGGGCAGGTGAGGTGTTCAGTGGCTCTCCTTGCTCCCCCTACTTTCAGTCCAGGACAGAGCTCATCATCACTCCAGGCCCTGTGTCGAGACTATGTTAAGTGTTACAGTGACCACATTTTCTGAAACAAAAACCTGAGGGTATGAGTTTACTTATGGGATATTATGGGTGGTTAGAGTTCAATATTATCAACCAGATCAAAGAAATTAGGACTGTTTCCAAGGGCTTTCCTGGTGGCTCAGATGGTAAAGAATCCACCTGCAATGTGGGAGACCTGAGTCTGATCCCTAGGTTGGGAAGATCCCCTGGAGGAGGGCATGGCAGCCCACTCCAGCATTCTTGCCTCGAAAATCCTCATGGATAGAGGAGCCTGGTGGGCTACAGTCCATGGGGTCACAAAGAGTTGGACACTACTGAGAGACCTAGCACCAAGGGGATATAAGGAGTCAGGGATGAAGTTTCTATTTTGAAGACAGGGTGAATGAAGATGCCATTAGCTTACTATTTCTCGATTCAATAATTCCATCAGACAGGCAAAACTTTTAAAGTTTGATGTCATCACATGTTGGAATGTGTAGAGGACCCTTACAATGTGGTGGTGGAAGGGGAATGCGGTACAATCATTTATAAGGATATTTGGTAGCATCAGCTGAAAAACAGACAGGTCCTCTGACCACAATTCATTGTCTCTATTTTAGAAAAACACTCGTGCATGTCCATAGGGAGACACCAATTGTACAGCATTATCTTACAAAGAAAACTGAAAGCATTCTTAACTAGATAATATAAGCATGACAGAATGTTATATAAATGTCAAATTTTAGGTAGATCTGTTCTTTGTTTTCACATGGAAAGCATTTCAAAGCATACTGCTGGGTGAATAAAGCAAGCTGCAGAACAGTATGAGACCACTTATGTAAAAGACAGAGCAAATGTTTAAGATGGCAAATTTTATGTTATGTGTAAAATAATAAATTAAAAAATGGGGGGGAGGATATAACATGCAAATGCAACAGAAAATGTCTGTCAGGATACCTGCCTAACTAAGATGGCGGCAGGGGCAGGTGCGGGGCCGGGGGGAGCGGAGCATGTCTCTCTGATAAAATGATGGCCTGATTTAAAAAATACCAAAATGTTTAAATTGGTGGTCTATAGAAACTCAGTCTACACTTGATTTTTGTTTTCTGTTTTTAAATTTTATACTTTTGTTTTTCAAATTATCTACCATTAACAATGTGATATATATATATATATATATATTATACAGTTAACTGGGTTTGCCATCCCTCTAGATGGGTATGGATGGATGGTTGTAAAGTTGCTCTGGTTAGGAGCCCCTTCAAGATGGGCTGCAGATGATGAAGGCCACAGACTTTGGTCCCAGGAAAATACACACTTTGTACAATTTCTTTATATAATAAAGAATACTAATTCTTTATTAGTATTTTATACAAATTCAAGTATATCCAAATACTTTACACAATTTCAAGGAATGCAGGACCTTGGAAGCCCACCCATAAGTTATGAACCCCAGGTTAAGAACCTTTGATTTGGACATTTAAAGCTGCAGAAATGGATGCAATCATGCAAAGAACATGTACTAGGTAGGAATTAACAGAGATAGACTGTAGAACCCAAAGAACCCCCAACAATGAAGGAGCAGGCAGAGTAAAGAAGAGATGCAGGCTGTAAGGAGTGGAGGCCTGCAGAAGAGGGTAGACGGTAGTAGGCTGATGAGCTAGCTCCATCTCTCCTGTCCCTTCTGCCACCTCCAAACTGCTGTCACACGGATTGCCCAGAGCTGTATGACAAACATCCTTCCATGAACAGTGGGCAGTAAACCCACGAAAGGAGGCTAGGTCCTACAGTTTGACCCTGCCTCCATCTCTGGCCTTATCTCTGTAGCTCCAAACACACTAAGCTGTGACTCATCTCAAAAATATCTTTTCCCTTCTGTGACTTCATTTTGCCATTTTCTTTTGTATAATGCCTAGCACATTGATAAGGTCCTCAAAAATTGTCAGAATTTCTTCTTTCCTTACCAACCCTGTTATGGAAATTGTCACTTAGAAAAGAACACTAGATTTGGAGGCTCTTCCATAAACAGCCCAGCAGAAATCATGGCGTCCCCCTCCCATCCCTGCCCTGAATTTCTAGACTTACTCCTGCCACACCCCATCTAGTAGACTGACTTGGAAAGACCAAAGGATCTTAGGAAACCAGGTCTCCCTGGCTAGACACTGGTCTATCAGCAAAGCCTGTAGACATCTGGAGATGCGGACTGTTCCCAAATTTGTACACACCATAGTAAGAACATAGTTCTTTCCATGAAATGAAAATAAAATATACTAAAAATGTGACCTCAGTTTTCAAATGGGTACCTCCAAAAAATAAGTACCAGCTGCAGACTTATGAGATCACTCAAAAATACTTTGGACTGCAAATATCAAATCTGCACTTATATAATCTACCACAGGGATGCAGTTTAGGGACTATTGGCTCACAGAAGGGCATACCAGCCCAGCATTAAGTCCACCTCTGACCCATGACTACAAAGTCGTGGACACCAAATGCACCATCACTTGTTAAAAGGCCTCATGGAAGCTCCACACAGGCTCAGCCAGCCCTTGCTGCTTCCAGTCTGCCCTGCCTCACCCTTTCCTGACAGGAGGGCCAGGAACACAGTGGGACCTTGGACCTCTGGGTGAATCAACGTGGCCTTCTGAGGAATGACTGTTTATTTACAACCTCAAAGTACTGGGTACTTGGACTGCTCCTCCCCAAACCTAGAAAGACAGCAGGTAGATGGAAAATATCCAGGACTTGTCTGGAGTCAAATCCAGCCTGCTCCATTAAGACCCACTGCACTGAGTCAGTTCACTAAGCCATGGCATGAGTGAACTCCCATCACCTGGAAGGGTCGTAATATCCATCATTTCTACCTCGCAGCAACTCCACCCCCACACCACGAACCGGTAAAAACCCTCTGAGATGTGGAAAGATGTACAACGTGAATTGCTAACACAGCCACTAGGTCTGTGACACTCTCAACAGTGGACAATAGTCAAATGAATACTAGGAACAGCTACAGCAATGACCTTGAGACTAATTTTCCTCCTCTGTTAAGCGTAGCTGTTCGATTAATTCTGTCAATCCTAGCCTTCATGACCATAATGAATTGCTGAGGTTTTACATGGCAATAAAAATTTTTTTTTAAAATTACAAACTCTGTGTATCACCATCACTTCCTAAAAGAACATTTAACACCAAGACAGCAGAACGGAGGTGATGTCGGAATCGCGGTAGCCACTGTAACCAGGCCCACGGCCCAGACCAAGAAGGAGGCCCCGACCTGGCCGAGCCGAGGGCTGACCCTGCCCTTACTCCTGACGTCCGGGGACATTCAGGCTGCGTCCTGACTGCGATGAGAGCCAGCATCAACTCTAACGAGAACCAGCGGAGAAAACAGATGCGGAAGGCAGGGCGGCAGACCCCAGCCGGGCTCCGGGCGCGGCGGCTCCAGGCCCCGGGCGCCAGTGGGGGTGGGGAGCTGCCGCGCCCGCGCTCCAAGCCCTCGTCCCCCCCGCCGCTGCCCGCCTCCAGGCCCCGGACCCCGATCCCGCCCCCCACGCTCAGAGCCTCAGCCCGCGCCCCCCGCCCGGCCCTGCCCCCGCCTCGGCCGCCCGCGACCAAGGTCGGCAGCAGAGGGCCGCAGGGCCGGGCGGGCGGGGGTCCGGAGCCGCGAGCCGGGGAAGGCCGCCGGCGGTGGGCCGGAGCACCCACCGCGCAGCCCGCACCGGCGCGGCCGCGAGCGCCGCACTCACCCGGACGACGCCATGAGCGCGACGAGGCCTCGGCGCTGTCGCCGCCTGTGCTTCCTCCGCGCCGAGCCGCTCCGCCGGGGAGGGGCCTCTCGCCGGCCCGACTCCACCAGCAGGCGGCGGGGACGGCGGGGAGGGCCCGGGGTCAGCCGGAGAAGGGTGTGAGCGCGCCGGCGGCCAGATGGGGCTGAAGCCGGGCATCGGTTCTGAGCGTCTAGGGCGGTGGGGCCTCGGGGGAGGGGGTCCAGGGCCCGCTCCGAGCGGCCCAGAGTGGGGGGCGGGGGGCTGTGGGCGCGCTGACGGCGCTGGGTGGCACCGAGGACGAGGGCGGTGCGCGACCCGCAGGCCTGATCCTCCCACCTGCTCAGGTGCACAGCTTCCTAGAGGCCAGCAGTCGCTGGAAGACGCCTTCGGTGTCAAACCAGCGGGAGAACCTGCCCTGGGGCCACTATAAACAGCTGCAGGACCCAGGTGAAGTCAGAACCTCCCAGATTTGAGTTTAATTTCCTTAAGAAAATCCTTTTCTTTAGCTCTGGTGTGTGAGGATGTGGTGTTGTTATTAAGCACAACAGTAAGTTTGCTATTTCTTACTTGGTGTACTGTGTTGCACGAATGTTGGCCTCGGAGTCAGTGATCCATTGTAAAAGATGTGTAAAATCACATTATGAAGTCTCGAGGACTGTGGGGGCACTTTTTATTTTTCTTTACATTATACTATTTATCCATAGTAATGGCTCTGGAATTCCTGCAGTGGGTTTCACAGCGTCAATGATGGGTACTTGAACCTCAGTTCCTGTCTCAGCAAAATGAGTTTTCAGAGGTAAATGAGCTCTTGTAAGTAAGAACACTTAGTAAAAAGCTCTGGACAATGAAAATCATCGTTGATTGCACTTCTGTGTTATATTAAATATTATGGTTTTTCCAGTGCTCATGTATGGATGTGAGAGTTGGACTGTGAAGAAAGCTGAGCGCCGAAGAACTGATGCTTTTGAACTGTGGTGTTGGAGAAGACTCTTGAGAGTCCCTTGGACTGCAAGGAGGTCCAACCAGTCCATCCTAAAGGAGATCAGTCCTGGGTGTTCATTGGAAGGACTGATGCTGAAGCTGAAACTCCAGTACTTTGGCCACCTCATGCGAGGAGTTGACTCATTGGAAAAGACCCTGATGCTGGGAGGGACTGGGGGCAGGAGGAGAAGGCGACGACAGAGGATGGGATGGCTGGATGGCATCACCGACTCGATGGACATGAGTTTGAGTAAGCTCCGGGAGTTGGTGATGGACGGGGAGGCCTGGCGTGCTGCGATTCATGGGGTCGCAAAGAGTCGGACACGACTGAGTGACTGAACTGAATCATTGTTTCTTTACTTTTACTAATAATAAGAGTAAGAGACAGTAAAGATGTGACTGAAAGCCTTGGCTCTGGAGCCAAAATACCTGGGTTGAAATCTCACGTCTACTAATTACCAGCTGTGGAACGTTAGGAGGGTAGAACCTTCCCACGGCTACAGTTTTTTCAGTTTGCTTTTCAACGAGGATCGTAATAGGTCCCTTCCTCTCTCTGAGGATTGAATGAGTTAATATTTGTAAAGTGATTAATACATTGCCTGGTAGATGGCCTTGTTGACTTACAGATTAACAACCTAAAAGCTGAAAGTTATATTTTATTCAGTGGGAATTTTTAGGACTTTAAGCCTGGAGACAGCATCTCTAGTGACCCTGAGAGAACTGCTTGGAGAAGGTGAGGGGAGGAGCCAAGTTATATAGAAGTTTTGTAACAAAGGACAGGTAGTCTGAATATCAACAGATTATCATTAAAGAAAACTAGATAACCCAAGTTAAGGAATTTAGCACTTTTCTATGTATGGAGAGATGTAAGAGTCTGGGCTTCCTGAAACCATTCCTTTGATATGTACTCCAGCTTTCTGGGGCCAGTATCCTGCTTTTACATCCTGAGCTTCCTGGGGGCTCACTGTAGGTAGTGCCTGCAGTCTGACAGCTGCTAGATGGCATATATTCTCTCTTTTTTTTAATTTTACTTATTTATTTTTAATTGAGGGATAATTGCTTTATGATATTGTGTTGGTTTCTGCCATACCTCATCATCAATCAGCCATAGGTATACCTACATCCCCTCCCTCATGAACCTCCCTCCCACCTCCCTCCTCCCACCCCATCCCACCCCTCTAGGTTGTTACAGAGTCCCCATTTGAGTCCCCTGAGTCATACACCAAATTCCCATTGGCTGTCTATTTTATGTACAGTAGTGTACAGAGGATGAGATGGTTGGATGGCATCACCAATTCAATGGACATGAACTTGGGCAAACTCTGGGAGATGATGAGGGACAGGGAAGCTTGGTGTGCTGCAGCCCATGGGATCACAAAGAGTCGGACACAACTTGGTGACTGAATAACAACAAGTGTATATGTTTCCATGTTACTCTCCCCATTTGTCCCATTCCCTCCCTCCCCCGACCCCCTGCACCATGTCCATTAGTCTCTTCTCTCCGTGTCTCCATTGCTGCCCTGCGAGTAGGTTCATCATTACCATCTTTCTAGATTCCATATATATGCATTAATATACAATATTTTTCTCTTTCTGGCTTACATCACTCTATATAATAGGCTCTAAGTTCATCCACCTCATTAGAACAGACTCAAATGCATTCCTTTCTATGGCTGAGTAATATTCCATTGTATATATGTACCACAGGTTCTTTATCCATTCTTCTGTTGATGGACATCTAGGCTGCTTCCATGTCCCAACAACTATAAATAGTACTGCAGTGAACATTGGGATGGCAGGTATTCTTTCCTTCCTGAGTTCCCTTGTGGCTCACCAGCTTACCATCCATGGTAGCTGTAATCACTGGTGACTGTGACATCCTGGTTTAATGACATGGAAGGAAATATTCCATTTCTCAGCCTCTTAACCTCCAGAGAACCCATCCAATGTTTTGAGAATGCTTCTTTCCTTCAGTAAAATGGAATGTCACAATTGATGCCTTGAGTTCAGAAGATAATGCTCTGTAAGTGTGAGCTGAAAAGTGAAGCTACAGGGGGTTTGTGAGACCCAAAGTAGGTGTGAATATTAGAGGCTTAAGGAAGAGTTTGGAGAAAGGGCAACTGATAAAGTGGCCTGATTCCAGGCAGCAGTGGTTGCCATTGGAGTGGAGGAGGTCCAGTGTTTTTTTTAAAAATAAGCTGTTGGTTTTAAAATATCTTTTGAAATAGTGACTAGTCTTAGTTCAATGAAAGTAAATATTCTTCCTCAATATGAGTTATACTAGGTATGTAGCATTTCACTGCATGGTGGACCATCATATGTTTTAACCAACCCTTATTGTTGTGGTCCATGCATGGACTGGAAAAGAATTTTCATATGTGAGGCAAAATGAGAAGAGAGTAAAGTTTATTAGAGTGGGTGGCACTGTTAGAACACCAGGCCAGCCCAAGAGAGAGCAGAACCCTTTTGCAGGCTATAGACAATTTTTATAGCCTCAAGACACAGAAAATTCCTACTGGAATGATGGCATTAGGTGATTGGTTAGGGTTCTATTGGGTGGGTAACGAAAAGTGAAAGTGAAAGTCACTCAGTTGTGGCCAAATCTTTGTGACCCTGTGGACTGTACAGTCCATAGAATTATCCAGGCCAGAATACTGGAGTGGATAGCCATTCCCTTCTGCAGGAGATCTTCCCAACCCAGGGATCGAACCCAGGTCTCCCTCATTGCAGGCAGATTCTTTACCAGCTGAGCTACCAGGGAAGCTCAAGACTACTGGTGTGGGTAGCCTATTCCTTCTCCAGGGCATCTTCCTGACCTAGGAATTGAAGCTCAGGGTGGGCAATAGTGTGGATATTTTACCTAATATGGGGTTAGGGGACTGGCCTGTTTAGATCCAGAGGCTCAAGGCAACAGTTGCTCTGAGGCTTGGTCAGTTCCAGAGGTTTTTGTCCTGTGACATTGGTACAGGGCTCCACACCTATGACTTTGGGCTTCCCTGGTAGCTCCGATGGTAAAGAATCCGCCTACAATGCAGGAGACACAGGTTCGATTCCCAGGTCAGGTAAATCCCCTGGAGGAGGAAATGGCAACCCACTCCAGTATTCTTGCCTGGATACTTCCATGGACAGAGGAGCCTGGTGGGCAGGCTTGCGGGCTGCAGTCCATGGGATCACAAAGAGTCAGACATGACTGAACAACTAACACTTTCACTTTTTCCATACATATTATTAGACAAAATTTCGCTTCCAGTATTTCATTATTATAGAGAATGTGGACTATAAATATAATTATAGCCAAAACTCTCTATATATACCCATGAGTATTTCCTTAAGCTAAGTTCCCAGGAGAAAGATGATACTAGTATTTTAGGTCTCTTCAGGACACATATAATCTCCGTTTGTACTTGTGTACTTACATACACAAACACACAGACACACATATATACTTATGCACACACACACACACACACACACACACACATAGAGATTGCTGTCCCAGTAGTCACCAACACCAGTGATGGTGCCAGTTTGCCAAAACTCTCAATAAATTTTATAATTTATCTTTGCAAATTTAATAGGTTAAAAAACAGTATTTTGCCAAAATGGCAGACTAGGAAGTTCCAAGCTCTCCTTTTCCTGTAGAAAGAAACATGAAGAAAGCAAACAAGTTGTCTGAACTAATTTTGTAGAGACTCTGAAAAAATCAGATTCATAGCAACCAAGCAAACATTCAAGCAAGAAAAAGCCATCTTTAAAATGACACGAAAGTTTTGTGGCATTTTCAGATTCCATTACCCTACTCATTCTCCAGTGTGGCAGTGATCTTGGTCTTGAGATGGTAGCATCCTGTTTTCCAATCCCCACATTCCTATCACCTTGGACTGGAAGTAGCCGAGCAAACTTCATCTGTTTACTACCTGACCTGTAAGAAATGGTAAATCAGTCCTTCAGTTTGAAATGAAAGGATGCTAGACAGTAACTCACAGCAGTATGAAGATGTAATGATCCAAAA